GAGAAAGGAGCGCCGTGTGAGGAAGGGGGGGGGGGGGGAGGATTTAAGCTCCTGGATCTAGCATGAGCCAGGTGCCCTGCCCACTTGGCTCCTAATACACTTTAAATGATCAGCTGCGGCACCTGTAGGTTCTGGACCTGGCAGGATCTAGAACTGAGCTGGGCTGCTGGCCAGCCCACAAAAAATTTACTGGCAAGGGTGGGGGAAAGGAAATACATGTAGTCTATAGCATTAACCTATAAACTTTTGCTTATTAGTTAATTGATTACACTATTACATCCCTACCCAGGCCTGCTGGAGGCAGGAACTACCTGTGGGTTGGGAGATGTTCCAGAATATACTTGTTCTTTAGGTAATATTAAGAAACACTGCAAAACAACTTTTCTTACAGGTGCTACAAAATATACTGATAAAGACAATGGAGGGATGCTTGTGTGGTCCCCATACCATAGTATTCCAGATGCCAAGTGTAAGTCCTCTTTTCTTCTACCAAGGAAATTGTACTCTAACTAGAACAGATTAATTGCTCTGATGTTGAACTGTCTACTTCTAATTTTAATGCATGCTTCTTCTTGCAATGTGGGAAAGTTATATAAATGACACTGTGTATGAAACAACAAAGCTGATATTTCCCTCCCACTTGTTTCTCAAGAAACTTGGGGAAAGAAAAACATTCCACCTTTCGTTATCCTTTGTTTGGGAAGAAGGCTTTGATATCTAATCAAGCCTTTAGACCTTTTGAAATGTGTCCATTATTACCACAAATTTCTGCAACATATATTTATAGTGGTGTAAACAATATAATCTTGAGACGTTTTCAGTATACCCATCCAGGAGAAAATGTGTTGCTATGGAAGTCTTCATAGGTGAATTACCATGGAGGAAATGCAGTGGGGGCCAGTTCAAGGAGAAGACATTATATGGACATAGATACCTATTGCCCTCTTTGAAAAAGTAGTGCTTGTTGTGTCATATCGGCTAAGAAGATAATGGAAATACAGGAACTATCTTACTAGATCTGATCAATGGTCAGTCTTGCTTAGTATCCCGCCTGAAGTAGTGTATGCTTCAGAAGAAGAAACCCGGCACTTAGGAGAACATGACCCCAGAGAAAGTTGCCTCCTAAAAACAGGCATGTCCCAAAGCTTGAGGATTTATGTCCTTTCCACAGCTCTGGTTTGTTTTTTTTAAGTATTTACAGCTGTAATGCTAGGTATTTTTGTTATCCATATAAATTTATTTTAAATCTGCCATCTTCCAATTACAAGGAATGTCCTTTTACTCTTCAGTTGTGATGGTGGGTTAATTAGTAATGAAGAATATTTAAGGTCAATGACAGATACTTGGGCCAAGCAGTTTGGCTAGGCATAAGCAGAATATAGCAGTTAAGTCACAAATTTACTGTTGGTAAAATAATGGTCAGACTTTATGTACACTTCTATTGACAATTGACTCGGGTGGCTAAATATAATGCAATAAACCAAGGGAAACTGAGGATTAAAACTAAAGATCTGTGAGATTATGCAGCTGCTGAGTGGGCTTTTTAGATTACTGAATGTATAATATAATTTATTATGCTAAAATGAGAGTTCTCAATTTTCTTTTGAAATCTCCCAGTTCTCCTCTCTTTGAAAGTCATCAGTGGTGAGATCTGTGAAAGATTACTACATCAACAAATCTCTGGTGACTGGATAAATATTGTTAAAATCAGCATAAATATCTTAGTGGATACCATTATGTACAGTATATTATTGTAGTGCCTACAATACAGACACTGTTCAAACATAGGAAAATGATTCTTGCATTGCTTCAATTTTATGCACTTCAATAAACCTCATTGACTTCCATGGAACTGCTTGTAGTGTGTAAAGCACATGCATAACCTTTTGTGGGAGCAGACCCTGCAAAAACAAGCAGTGTATAAAAGATGGGGAAGAAGGCATCAAACATATATTAAAAACTTTTATATCAATTATCCTCCACTACGCTGCTTAGTCACATTTGGTAAACCACAGAACTAATACTTCTAGAGAAATTAATTCTGGCATTGCTTTCTTACAGTGGATGAATATATTGCAATAGCAAAGGAAAAACATGGATACAATGTGGAACAGGTAAGTGGAATGAGTGATTTCAATGTAGTGTTTACTTTGAGTATAACACGCAACTCACTTTTTTCATCTGGCTTCCATTAACTAATGCTATTTCTCTTCAGGCTCGGCAGCAAACTGCAGTTTTATGGATCTGCATACTGTTGTGGTCTGGATTCTCTGCAAAAGACTGAGCTCTTTATTTTTATGACATGCTCAGCTTGCATTGCAGTTTTGAAAAGTTTGGTATGATTTGGTACACTGGGCATGTCATGTAATTGTGTGTTTATGTAACTTTAAAAACCCCAAGATTTCTTGGCAAGTAACTTTTTTGTATGGACTGGTGCATTTTGGAATTAATATTTTAAATGCTAACATTGATTCAGTGTTCTTCATGCTACAGTTCTAGAGGCATTTCAGCTACGGGGCTATAAAAATAATTCAGCAGGTATGTTTCAAAGTAAGAAAAACACTATCAAAACTTGTGGCGTTTGGAGATTATAGTTAAAGTTCTGTAATTTTTTTGGTTTTACTGTTAACTTTGTCATGGGTAGTGATTATACGTAAACATTGCTCGTTCACACTGACTAAGATCTGTAGGAGTTTGTATTTTAAAAGTTACCAAGTGAATGAATACAGTAAAAGTAAGGGAAACAAAAGCTTAATTATTGATGTACTAGTAAAACATCCTATTGTATAAGCTTGTTTTGGGGGAGAAGAGTAGGGCAAAAAATAATGAAACATTGGTAATGAGAACTCATTGCAGTACAGGCAGTCCCCGGGTTACGTACAAGATAGGGACTGTAGGTTTGTTCTTAAGTTGAATTTGTATGTAAGTCGGAACTGGTACATATTGTAGGGGAAACTCCAGCCAAACATTTCTCCAGAGCTCAGTTTTATTCTCCCACACCTCACTTCCCTCAGTCCTTTATTCTCAAGATGAGGTGTCTGCTGAGAAAAGCCGCTCCGCGTCTCCCTGGTCTGCTGGGGGGCGCGCTAGCTTCGCGTCTCCCTGGTCTGCTGGGGGGAAGCAGCTAGTGC